CTCCCGGAGGGAGACCGTGGCGGTCGCCGTCGCGGGCGGCATCGTGAGCCTTCTCAGCGGGGGTCCACGCCCGCCACGTCCCCCTCACTGCCCGCCGCGCCCCTGGCGCTCTCCGGAGCACGAGTCACCGTCTGCAGCGCTCGGAAGACCGAGAGGAAGGGCCCGGCCGCCAGGCTTCCCGCTCTTTGCTCCCAGGGACGGGCGCCCGCCTCCCCGGTGGGGTCCGGACGCCACCTGCCCTCCACAGTCCGGTCTCCGCTCTCCCGTCTCCCAGCTCCCCGAGCTCGAGGGTCGCGGCCAGTGGACGTTTGGAACGGGAGGGACCGCCCCGTTCGCTGTCCGGTTGTGGACGCACGCCGCGCGCGGAGGGTTCTGCCAATGAACAGGCCCCGCCGAGCGCCTTGCGGGACCTCCCAGTACACGAAGCCACCCGCAAACTCGCAAGGGGAGCCCATTCTAGTGGGGTCCGGGGAAGCCTTGGCCATATCCCCAGCACACCACTAACTGTTATCAGTGAATGCTCCTAAAGGGGCTTCGGGGCTGTGCCAAGGCATCGCTATCGGGAGCACAGCATTTGGGGGAGGGGGAGGCCTCCTAAGGCTCACCTGGATTCGAGCCATCCCTTAACCGCCCCATTCGTTCACTCAGCCACTGGGAACAAAGATTTAAGGGACACCATGTGTGTCCTTAGCTTGTTCCATTATTCAGGGCAGTGGCACATGTCTCAGGGGTGCAGTCCTGAGACCTTGGCCTCTTGGAGACAGTTCCCATCTCACTGTGCTTCAGCAGAAAAGAGGGGAACTTGGGAGAGACCACTCACTACCCAGGCAGCTCTGACCAGCCACCACATGGCAGGCCTTTACTGTGCCACCCTGGCCTAGTTCATCTCAAAAACGACTCATCTGGTCAAATGCCAGCATTTCAGCTCATTACGAGGCAGGATTAGACAGGACTAGAGGAATTTGGTGCTCTTGGCAACTGGGGCTCGACTTCCCCATACCAGAGTCTTCCAGAAAACAGAAAACTTCAATGTTTAGTATATTCAGGAAGGGAAAACCTGTGTATCTGTACGATTTGAACTACTTTTCAAATCCAGATTTTTAGTCTGAGCTGGTAAAATTTAATTGAAACCCTTCATGCACGCCCCCCACCCCCCAGCCCAAGTGTTCCCTGGGAGAGAGGTGAAACATCAGCCTATAACCTGCAGGAAGGTTAACACCCAAACATTCTTCTTCATCGTCATAGTCCTAGCACCTGACACCCCATAGGCCTTCACACGGTTGCTGATACTGTCCAAAGAACAAATTCTTGGGGCGCCTGGGTGGCTCAGTTGGTTAAGCAACTGACTTCTGCTCAGGATGTGGTCTCACAGCTCATGGGTTCGAGCCCCACATCAGGCTCTGTGCTGACAGCTCAGAGTCTGGAGCCTGCTTCGAATTCTGTTTCTCTCTCTCTCTGCGCCTCCCCACTTATAGTCTGTCTCTCTCAAAAGTAAACATTAAAAAATTTGGGGACGCCTGGTGGCTCAGTTGGTTAAGCGTCCAACTTTGGCTCAGGTCGTGATCTCCTGGTTCGTAAGTTGGAGCCCCGCATTGGGCTCTGTGCTGACACACAGCTCAGAGCCTGGAGCCTGCTTCAGATTCTGTGTCTCCCCCTCTCTGCCCCTCCCCCACTCATGCTCTAGCTCTCAAAAATAAACATTAAAAAAAAATAATAAAAAAGAACAAATTCTTTGTGTACACTTGAGGCCAGATCACAAAGTTCAAGCCTTGCGATAGAGCATCCGCTGTCCTGGAGGCAGTAGAACGTGGGCTTCTCAATTCTAAGTTGGGTGATTTCCAGAAGGATGTTACCCCTTGCTCCTGCTACCACTACATCAGCTCTGGCCAGAGCGTCAGCTCCCCGGGTCCTCATGGTTTCATTTCAGATCCCTGAGACTTGGCATCATGCCAGTCACGTATCAGGACCCACTAAATGGCAGTGGAAAGGGCGTACATGAATATATTCTAATTCTAATCTGAGGAAATATATTCTACTGAATGCTTCTGCTAAATCTTCTGCTAAATAAGTACATATAAACACAGGAAAGGGAACATTCACTGGACATATAAATGGAATTTTGGAATTGAAAAGGACCTCCCTTAGCTGTTGGATCCAAACCTCCCTTTTTCCAACTGATGACAGAGGCCCAGAAAGGACTAGTCATCTGCCCGACATTAGGAATAAGAACCGGTTTCCTGAGTAATCGTCTACGGTTCCTCCTCTACCATTTCACTATCTGATAATTAAGTTCTTGCTCAAAATTCCCCTACGTGGGACTCTCAACAGAAGGCGACCTGTGTGCTGGAAAGAGCTAATGTGCTCAAAGTCTTGACTGTGGTTAGGGAATCTTTCAAGTCATTAGGAAGAGGGATACAAATGTCAGGGAAACGTCCCTGCAGGGAAATACAATTGTACAACGAAGCAAATTATCTTACTGTCTCATAGGAACAGAACCAACAGCAATCCCAGCTCGCTGCCCAAGACACTGCCCCTTCCTGCTACATTCACTCCTGCCCTGGATTAGACGGAAGGTTTAAAAGGTCTACCTGACACGTGTGCTATAACTAGAATTGTAATTTTATTATTTTTTTAAATGTTTATTTTGAGAGAGAGAGAGAGAGACAGAATGCATGCACAGGGGAAGGACAGAGACAGAGAGAGAATCCCAAGCAGACTCTGTGTTGTCAGCGCAGGGCCCGACACGGAGCTCGATCTCACAAACCAGGAGATCATGACCTGAGCCAAAATCGAGTCGGACGCTTAACCGCCTGAGCCACCCAGGCGCCCCGTGGCCAGGTAAGTTTAAATGCTGCGTAGAAAGGTCCAACGCAGCCCTAGGTAATGCAACACATGTGTCACCTATCACCCATAAAAACTCGCATGGCGAGTTCTATTTTTTTTTTTTTTTTAACTTAGATTTTTAAATCTACTATTCCGACAAGGACTGGATTCCGTTGCTTAGGAAGGGGATGGAACCTGCAGGCGGAGACTCACGTCTCGGGCTCGAGACCAGCCGTGGACCTGGAACGCCTTTTATTTTGTACCCGCTGTCTCCTGCACAGCCTGGACAGAAGTCAGTCACCGTGAAGGCAGGAGAGTGGGCGGCTCTGCGAGGCAGTGAACAGACCAGCAAGAGCACAAATACTTTTATTTGCAGTTGAAGAGCAACGCAGGTATCCAGAGACGGGATGCTACTCTCTAATCGGACCTCCTTGCTAGGGGTCGTGCCACACACGCTTCGTTGTTCAGCGGCCGGAGGCCCAGCAGCCTCTCACAGAAAAAGAGGGTTTTCTACGAAAGGCTTCTGTGAGGTCGGACGGGGAGAGGACAACTAGAATGGAAGACAGTGCCGGGCGCTCGGCTCCCCTAACCAAGCTCCACACCGACACACGCAGCTCCCCGCGGTGCCGACCGCCGGTTACGGAGTTAAGACCTTACCTGCCTTTAACTCCTTTTCCATTTCGGTAAGATTCGGAGCTGCTTTTCAGGAAAGCGTAACTTGTGTTTAAGGAACAGAATGAGGATGGCAGACGTTAAGGCCATTTATCCATGAGCTCTGTCCTCCCCTTGACCAGCTCAATGCCTCCTACCTCCCGAACCTGGCAAGACAGACTACATGGCTCCAGGCTGTCTGCAGTCCTCCCCTGGAAGGAAACACGGGGATGGAAGTCGACGGCACCGCTTTCCCCACGTTTTCCGCAGGAGCCCCGCAGTCCAGGCGACCATGGTAGCTAGTCATCCACAGTGATGTTGCGGAAAAGGTAGGCCATGGATTCTCCGTTGTGGATTCTCCGAATCGCTTCAGAAAGGATCAGACTGATATCCACGGTCTTTATCTTGGGACACTGCAGCTTCTGCACCTCGTGAGGGACGGTATTCGTCACCACCACCTAGTCATCGCGGCAACGGGGGAGATAAACACTGTTACTGATGTGCGTGCCCCGACGTGGTCACGCAGAAAAGTTGAGCCAGCCGCCTCCCCGAGCTCCAAACTACAAGACCTCATTCCACTGAGTATAGATAGTTTTTACAAAGCAAACTCAACCGATATTACACAAGAAAAAGGTGACAGAGTCCAGAACAGAAGATTGTGAATGTCACGGTCTGCTCACGCAGGAATGACAGGGCCCGGCGCCTTGCTGAACCTTCCTGTGGTCAGGGAAGAATTCGAGGCTTCAGAGAAATGCCACCAGAGTACCAAATTACACCGCAATACAAACTACATGAAGTACATAAAGCAAAGCTTTATGCCAACAGACACATGTTCCCAACTACACGTCTGGCCCAACAAACGGCCGGCCGGCAAGGCCACTACCTCACAGGCCCTCCAGGGAGCAGCTCGGCAGTATTGATGGAGCCACCTTACTATTCACAGAAAAGAGAGAAGCCAGTTTGGACGCAGGCTCGGTGTGCCAAGAAGCACCTTAAGAGCAGACGCACCTCGTCAATGGAGGACTCCTCGATCAGGCGGGGGGCCTCCGCAGACAGGATGCCGTGAGTGGCCATGACATAGATCTTGTAAGCGCCTCTCTCTTTCAGGATCTCCGCAGCAGCGACGAAACTTTCCACATCATCGATTATGTCATCCTGAGAAGAAAGCAGACTTAGCAGTAAGGAGCCACCCTCTGTCTCTCTGGACACACGCCTCTCTGCTCTTCTCTGCGCTCGGTTTCAGAGGATCTCCAACTGGAGATCAGAGGGGTCCGCCTGGGCCCCAGACTGAACATCCCGCAGTGGCAACAGAAGCGTGTGGACGGTGCTTCGTGTGGCTGTCACTACTCAGAGTCACATGTGACACGTACAGCTAGACGTCGGGACTGCCAAGGCGCATTTCTGTGTCCCACTTACTTGTTTTCTTTCTTTTTTTTTTTTTTCCAAGAAAAAGTGAAATGCCAGAACACAGAAATAAAGTGAACCATTGTAATCAGGCCCAGCAACGGCATTTAGAGCTGGGAGCAAATCGGTCGTGCTAACATACAAAGAACAAGGCACTTGTTCTCATTCGTAAAAATGGAAGAGCTCATCTTTAGTTCATCTCGTGGCCCTAAAGCTGAAAGTTGAGTCCCAGACCCCTGAAGACAAAGGTTATTCATGGGGTTGAATTCTCTTACGGGAGTTCCTGTGTTCTTTTTACATCTGTAGGTTGTAATAATCCCTGTTCAACTAGATAAACATTTCTACTTGTCCTAAGGGAGTGTGGATGAGAAAGGACACACGAATCCATTTAATAACTCTGTCATCCTCACTAGAAACATACTCCCAGAGTGGACAACCTACTAAGAGGCAGCAGTGTCCTCCCTGCACACGAAGGACGACACATGACCACGACCATACCACTATGATTGCGATGCGCCCGCCAACATCTCCGACTACAGTTATCGGTGGCTTCTCTTTGGCCATCATCACTAGCAAAACAAAACAAATCACAAGTTAGTCACGTGTCATTAAATAAGTATAATCGCAACCGCATTCCCTGGAAGTGGTGGAAAAAAACCCATTATTTAAAACAAAAAAAAAAAAAAGAGGAAATTCTCCTAAATGAACCTAGGGTCTCTGAAACAGACTGCCTAGAGCAGTGCTGTCCAGTAGAAACAGGTGAGCCATATGTAATTTTATGTAAAATTTTATGTAAAAAGAGGGGTGCCTGGCTGGCTCAGTTGGTGGAGCACAAGACTCAAGGTTGTGGGTTCGAGCCCCTTGTTGGGTATAGAGATTACTTAAAATCCTTTTTTTTTTTTTAATGTGTGTGTGTGTGTGTGTGTGTGTGTGTGTGTGTGTGTGTGTGAAAGGGGTGGGAGGGAGAGAGAGGAGGGGAGACACGAATCTGAGTTCTCAGGCTCTGACTGCTTGAAGGATGCTGACCGGACCCGTTGAACCTCATAGACGTGGAGATCAAGACCTGAGCGGCAGGTGGACTTCTTGCATTGGAGCCACCCAGGCACCCATCAGAGATTGCTTTACCAAAAGTCTCAGGGGTCGTTGGCTCAGCGTCTGACCTCGGAGGTCATGATCTCACAGTTCATGGATCCAAGCCCCTCCAAGTTATCCAACTCTGTGTGACAATGCAGAGCCTGCTTGGGATTCTCTCTCTTTGCCTGTCCCTGACTTGTGCTTTCTCTTGCTCTCAAAATAAATAAACTTTAAATAAAATCTTTAAAAAATAATAAAATCTTTTTTTTTTTTTTTTTTTTTTTTTCAGCAATGCTTTATTTATTTTTTTGGGAAGGGAGCAGAGATGAGTCAGGCGGTGAGGGGAGGCTGGGCACGAGAACGGAAAGCTCCAGGCTCTGAGCTATCAGCCCAGAGCCCCTGACTGGCGGCTTTCCATCTAACTGCAGCCGGCAGAGATGAACAGGACCTGGTCGAAGTCCGGACGCGTACAACTCGCCACCCAGGCTCATTCTTTTTTTAAGATTACTGTTGACGTCTTTTAAATGTTTATTTTTAAAATTTAGTTTTAAGTTTATTTATTAGAGAGAAGCAGAGATGCAGATGCAAGCAGGGGAGGGGAAAGAGAGAAGAGAGAGACAGAGACGAGGATCAGGGCCTCCATGCTGACAGCAGAGAGAGCCCAATGTAGGGCTTGACCCAGTACCATCAGATCCATAGCCTGAGCCGGTCCAGTTGCTGTAACCTTGAGCCACCCAGGCACCCCAAATGTTCATTTATTTGAGAGAGAGCCACAAGCAGGGGGAGGGAGGCAAGCAGAGGGAGACAGGATCTGAAGCAGGTTCTGGCACTCGACAGACGAGCCGAGTAGGTCAGCCTGACGAGCATTACGGTGTGACCTGAGCTGAAACAAGATCGGTTCACCCACAGAGAGCCACCAGGTACTCCATATCACAGAGAGAAGGGCTGTGATCATCCAGGGCTTCACAGATAGATAGTGCTGCTCCTGAGCTTGGCCAGTACCTCCATGGTCCAGACCCAGCCTGCGGTCGACCTGAGACCTCCTGACAGTCTCTCGATTCTGTGTCTCCCTCTCTCTCTTCCTCCCTCATGCTCTGGCTCTCTCTGTCCCAAAAAATAAATAGCTGTTGAAAAAAAAAAATTTAAAATAAAATCTTTAAAAAAAAAAAAAGAAAAGTAAAATTAATAGATTTTATTTTACCCAGTATATCCAAGATATTATCATTTCAGTATGTAACAGAATGCATGACTGCATAAATAAATAACAACAACAACAACAACAAGGGATGTTTTGCTTTTTTTTTTTTTATACTAAGTCTTTGATATTTGGTGTGCAGTGTCCATAAATAGCACTGGCCATGTTTCAAGAGCTTAAGAGCTACACGTCACTAACAGCCACTAAGAAGTCTTCAGACAGCACAGGTCTAAGGACAGAGCGAAAGAGCAAGGAAGATCTTATCGACAGGAGAAGCCACGCTGTGATGCCACGCAAGACAGAAATATCTGACTCTAGCTGAGACTGATACAGAAATGTAAACTCAATCCCACTCTGTAGAAAACGAAACTGGTAAAGGTGCCAGATGAGAGAGCCAGCTTTGCTTCACTGTCTTCCAAAGTGACTTTATTTGGACAATGTAACCTTATTATCAGATTATTATCAGATAACTGGCCTACTGACATCATCAGTTTCCTGAAAATTAGGAACTTGAGGACAATAACCATGACTCCATCATCTCTTCCTGATTTGACTGGTCCTTAAAAGAGAGGCCTCTTATCTCACTGGACAATTTACACGTGGGAAGGCCCATCAGTATACAAACCTAACTGTGGGGTAGAAAAGGGAAACAAGAATTCACCCTCAAAAGAAAGTGAGCGAACAAAGAAAAAACAAATTTCAGAAGAACAGGCTAAGTAGTCTACTTTTTAAAGCTTTTCGTTATTCTGAAATATTAAACCAGGAGGGGGAGAGGGACACAAGAATAAAACTCAAGGTAGTCCTATAGGTTAGTAATTATCAGCAAACAGTCCATTTTAACGGATTCCTCTCTACGGGTACGGCGACCCTCAAAGAACAGGCGTGCCTCTCTACCTACCAGCAATCGGCCAAGCCGAAATCCAGCACTATTTTACTGGCCAATTTCAACCAACATTTCCTGATTTCCCATCCCAGAAACAAGGGCAATTTTTTTGAATCCGGGCAGTTAAAAAGGCTCTGCATATACATAGCACCTAAAAGAGGGAGAAAATAAGCCACCGACATTAGGAAAGGCTTCCCTAAGCTCTGTCTTTAAATTAGACCACGCGAGTAGGTGGTTGTGTTGGCCTACCCACTTCTTAGAGAGATGTGGTCCCTGTTCTTGACCATTTTCCTCTGTGAAAAAAGAATGGCAAGCCAGTGTCCCTCACCCAAGGCCAATAAAAACTCAGCTCAAGTTTGATGCAGAAAACATGTCACAGTACTCCTGTTTACTTTTCTGTAATTCTGCTTCTCCCAAAAAACTTCTATCCGTTTGGAATGAAAACCAGGCATGGCTATAGGATGGAGGCTTAAAAGGCTTTTTTTTCTTTTGAACAGCAAGCATCCCTCCTGGTAGGCTCATTCCCTGCTCTTAACTGGGTTTGAGATCCAGATAAAACTGAACATACGATATGGTCGCTACCAAAAAACAGAGACTTTAGTATAGAGTCAAGGGAAATGAACAGCACCTCACAAACCCAAATTTCCTAACAGCTTGCCCCAAAAATAAAACACTGAAAATTCAAAATTTTCAGTAAAAATTTTTAGACATTTTCTGTATGTACTGAAGTTTAAGGGTAAAAGATGCTCAAACTACTGTTTAAGATTCTGTTCTCTTGCCTCATTTTCTCCAACAAAACCCAATCTGTTTAAGGATAAGATGAACTGTGGGGTACCTGGGTAGTTCAGTTAAGTCCAACTCTTGATTTAGGCCCAGGTCAGGATCTCACGGTTCGTGGGATCAGACCCCGCGTCAGGCTCTGCGCTGACAGCATGGAGCCTACTTGGGATTCTCTTTTTCTCTCTGTCCCTCTATGGCTCATGCTGTCTCTCTCTCTCTCTCTCTCTGTCTCTCTCTCTCAAAGTAAATAAACATTTTTTTTAAAGTATTAAAATTTATTTTATTTAAAAAAAATTTTTTTTTCAACGTTTTTTATTTATTTTTGGGACAGAGAGAGACAGAGCATGAACGGGGGAGGGGCAGAGAGAGGGGGAGACACAGAATCGGAAACAGGCCCCAGGCTCCGAGCCATCAGCCCAGAGCCTGACGCGGGGCTCGAACTCACGGACCGCGAGATCGTGACCTGGCTGAAGTCGGACGCTTAACCGACTGCGCCACCCAGGCGCCCCTTAAAAAATTGTTTTAAAGAATAAAATGAATTGTGCACCATCACTTGTGGCCAGAAATCACTATTAAAACTGTATCAACTCACTGCAGTGAAAATGTCAATTTATCAAATGACCTCAATACGAAGAAAGTAGGAAATTATCTTTTGCTTTTAAAATTAGCCTTCTGCAAGCCACGTTTATAACCATCCTTAAATTTTACATACTCGTTTACTCTTTCCCCAGAGTCAATTAACCAAAACTTCCTCTCTTGAAATGTAGAGCAAGAAAGAACCAAGAGGAATTACTCATTCCTTATGCAGTTTGATCTTGTTCTATTTTTAGTTCAATGGAAGGTCAAACTTTATCAACAGACTGACAGTAAAAAGAGATATAAGAAATAAAGGTCTCCAGTAGAACCAGAACTGAGGTTATTTTCAAGCTCACGACTCCGTCCACACGCAAACAAGTCAAAACTTACATTTAATTGAGGCGCATGTCTGTTTTCACTTTAGTGGTGAAAACCACATCTTCACTTGTAAAATTAACAACCCAGGAAAACCAAGCCAGAAAAGGAGACGTTCTCTCCTTTTTGTGATCCAAACTCTTTAATTTTCACCAGTGTGGCAAACACAGAGCCGTCTTTCGCAGAACCACTGGCCTACAATCCTTTCAAGTTCATTAGATGCCCTTGCCATCAGGACGGATTCAACTCTACCTTATAAAACAGAAAAATTTATACGACTTCACCTGTTTTTTAAAGTTTATTTTTGAGAGAGAGAGAGAGAGAAACAGAGAGTGAGCGGGGGAGGGGCGGAGCGCGAGAGGGAGACACAGAATCCGAAGCAGGCTCCAGGCTCTGAGCCGTCAGCACAGAGCCCGACCCGGGGCTCGAACCCACGAACCGTGAGATCGTGACCTGAGCCGAAGTCGGCCGCTTAACCGACTGAGCCGCCCAGGCGCCCCTCTAAGACTTCACTTTTAAATTTTTTTTTTTTTTCAACGTTTATTTATTTTTGGGACAGAGAGAGACAGAGCATGAACGGGGGAGGGGCAGAGAGAGAGGGAGACACAGAATCAGAAACAGGCTCCAGGCTCTGAGCCATCAGCCCAGAGCCCGACGCGGGGCTCGAACTCACGGACCGCGAGATCGTGACCTGGCTGAAGTCGGACGCTTAACCGACTGCGCCACCCAGGCGCCCCTAAGACTTCACTTTTAATAAATGACTCTACAACACGGTTCCTCAGGCTCGGCGGCGCTCCTGGCATTCTGGGCTAGGTGACTCTCATGTTGTACCGCAAGGATGTTTAGCAGCTTCTCTGGCATCTGCTCAACAAGACACCGGTGGTACCCGCCCTCCTTCGCGGTCGAGACAACCGGGAAGGCCTCCGGACCCTGTGAAATATCATGGGAGCGGCGGAACCGCTCTGGGTGAGAACTACCGCTGGTCTGAAAGAACGGGTTCTGGAAAGATAGAATAGTTCGTCTGCCTAAAAACTTCGAAGACTCTGGTCCTAGCAGTCCAGCATCGTCATCCTCATTACCATTAAGTAAGCCCTTAAGACGTACCGGAAGCATAACGGACGTGTACAAATAAAGCATATTTAATTTGGAAGGTACAATTACACATACAAAACTAGCATTTTTTTTTTTTAAAGCATCCCCTTGGCTAAATCTGTAAGAAGAAATCAAAAACGATCCCACGGCAACTATAAAAAGTGGTCATGTGAACACACCTGCATGTGGATGAAGGAACACACTACTTCACACCAGCATAGAAAATACTACGATGATTTGGCAACATCTATCAAAATAACCTTTGACCCAGCATTTTGTTTGCCAGTCTTCATCCTGTAACTACATTCGGTCACTCAAGAAAGAACAGAAGTCAAGGTTGGTCACAGGTAGTAATGTGACCCAAATCTTGGCTAGTAAAAACCACTTTCCACTAAAGGAATCGGGGCTCCTTGTTAGGACGGTTGATTCCAGGGCTAAGAGAGTACACGATAAACATGGAACGTCTAGTTGTACCACACAGTACGGAAGTATCAAAAAATGATACGGACGTGTCAAAAGAACGCGGGAGGTGGCTCGAAGGCGTCCTCTTTGGCCAAGTCTAAGACAATTTGAGCATTACAATAAATAGTAGTGATGGATTAGAGAACATGCTGAACAAAGTAAGATTCCACGAATCCATCCCGATATAAGTGAAGGAACGAACAGGGCAGAAGGGGAGGTGGAAACATCACCATGTGACAACAGTCATAGTAACTGATTCAACCTAATGTGAAGAAATACACAAGCCCCAGTGAAGGGATATTCTATAGAACTGGCCTGTACTCTTCAAAAGCGTCAAGGTCATAAGAGACCAAGAACAGAGGAGCCATTGCAGATTAAAGAAGACTAAAGAGAAACGTCAACTGAGTCCGATGTATGATCTTATACTGGGTTCTGGGCCAGAAAGAAATGGTTTCCCTTTGCTCTAAAGGATCCTGGTGGGACAACTGGTAAAATATGAGTAAGGTCTGCAGATTAGGTAATAGTATTGTAACAATGTCAGTTTCCTGAGTCTGATAACTGCACAGTGGTTACCTAAGAGAATATCTGTTTTTATGAAATAGGTACTGACGCATTTAGGAATACAGGGGCACTGTGTCTGTAAATCCCTCTCATATGCTTCAGAAAAAAAGAGTATGTACATAAATGTTAAATCTGGGGCTCTGAGTCAAGAGTAGAGAGGAATTCTGTATTATTCCTTCAACTTTTCTCTAAGACTGCAGTTTGTTCAAAATAAAAAGCTGAAATATGGATCCTGGATCCCGCTGCTTCACTCCAAACCCTGGCTCCACCAGCTCCGGACCGGGTCTCCGTTTCCTCACTGGCAGACTAAGGGATAACACAAGCACTTTCACAAGGTCATGTGAAGACCACATCTGGAGATCTACTGAAGGGCTTCGAATATCTCTTGACACATAATAAGAGCACAAAAGATGTTTATTATCACTGGTGCTTTGTTTTTCATAACCAAAGCCTGGGAAAACTCTACATGTTCGACAACAGGGGACTGATTCAATAAATTATGGTATATCCAGGAAACGGGGCACCACGAAACTGTCAAAGACCAAGAGATCTGTATAGACTGATAGGGAAGGGACGGAGCAATGTGATATACTACCACTATGTGAAAACGAGAGAACATGAGATACATATAGTCTCTAAACGGATATAAGAAGCCAACTATCTGCAGGTCAGAGCAGCTGGGGAGGAAAGAGAAAAATCTAGGAGGAAGATAGGGGAGTGGGGTAGGAAAGTTTTTTTTACTGGAAAGAATTTTATACTTTTTGAATTCTGAAGTATTATCAATGTATTGCCTAGTCAAGAACTTTAATTATGAAACCTTCAAATAAAGTAAAATGCTACGGTACCAAGAATTTAAATTGACAGAGTATATTGCTTGTTTGTCTTATACAGAAACCTCCAAAGTTGAAAACAAAGCAATGGAAATTCGATAGGGGAAAAAAATCAGTTTACACCTTTGACAGGAGTCTAAGTAACCTGGGGTATAACCATTCTGATATTTTCCCACTCTATTAACCTCTGTATGTTTCTGAGGCATGGCAAATAGATGCAGATTTGAAAAAGAAATAATCTTTGGGGTGCCTGGGTGGATCAGATAGTTGAGCATCCGACTCTTGATTTCAGCTCAGATCATGATCTCACCATTTGCGGGTTGGAGCCCCGCGTCAGGCTCCGCGCTGTCAGCACGGAGCCTGCTCGGGATTCGCTCTCTCCCTCTCTCTTTCTCTGCTCCTCCTCTGCGCTCTTTCTCTCTCTCTGTCTCAAAATAAATAAGTAAACTTAAAAAAAAGAAAGAATCTTCTCCCTCTAAAAAGTATATTATATATTATAGTATAGGATGCCGGTCATTACCACTCAAAATCCATGGAAAGAAATAGCCTCCACACTGTTGGACTAATTAATAGCAAGTTAGTCAAGTATCAGGTCGAAGGGCTACATTACTAAAATAAGTGCTAAAAGTTACCTGGATCGCCAAAGACTAGTGCATGATCAGTGGCTGCTACTGTCGACCTGACCGAAGTATAGAAGCGTAAGATTTCGCACCATTACACATACAGCATTTTCATTAGAGCTAAAATTATTCCACACTCTCTGAATGCTAAGTGCCACCCAGATTAGTTCCATTGTCCTCACATGGTCTGTGCATGTAACACAATCTCCTTTTACCAAACGGGAAATCAATGCAATACCATTCAATTACTGGAAATACCAAGATAGCTTACATCCATATACGTATTAACTCCTAGCCAGTCACACTACTCCAAACTTTCTTCCATTTACAAGTGAAATAAAAACACAGAGCTAATCTTACAGGGCAACTCCAGGCCCGGGTGGACAGTGGCATTTTTGACCATCGGGGGAGAATGACGACCATCATCCATGTCCAACTCTGTACACTGGGCTTCTCCGTGGATTACAGCCAACCCCAGACGGAGTCTCTCCGCATATGACTGCGCCCTAAGAGAAAGACGGAAGCAGCAAAATTCACGGGAAGAAAACCCAAGTGTCACTATCTCATTACTCTATTTATCATAAAACGAAAACATCACTCAGGCTTTTAGGGACACACAAAGGAATTATTTCTACAAATCAGAGGCCTTACTGAGGCCTAGACCAGAACGTTAAGTGCCTCAAGAGGCCCAGAAGTTGACATGTGGGCCAGCATCTGATCCTGGATAATTTTGGTTCTATCCTTTGTCCAATATTGTAACACTCCTAGGGGCGCTTGGGTGGCTCAGTCAGATAAGCATATGACTTCGGCTCAGGTCATGATCTCACGGTTCATGGGTTCGAGCCCCGCATCAGGCTCTGTGCTGACAGCTCAGAGCCTAGAGCCTGCTTCGGATTCTCTCTCTCTGCCCCTCCCCTCCTCGCACTCTGTCTCTCTTTCTCTCTCAAAAATAAATAAAACATTAAAAAAAAACAAAAACCAAAAAACCCCACTGCCTGAAAAATGCTCATGTCCCTTTGTTTTCCTTTTCCTGAGAACCTGAAAGGAAGAACTTCCTTTTCTCCCCCAGGAAAACGAAGTAATTCAGAGAGTGATCTGTATTGTTGGGAGACTAGAGACAAAGCTGTGGTGGGGACAAGACAATAATGGGAAGGGGGGTGGGGGGCGTGCACTCAAGCCAACGAGCCTTTCCGGGACACATTATGACAGACCCTAGATTCCAAAACAGCTCATTCTGACTCAGAAGCACCCAAAAGGAATTTTTACAAACGTCTAGCTTCTTTACCTTTTGGCCGCATCAGGAGACTTCGCTACGATGACTGCATTCCTGTAATTTGGGATCTAGATTTGGGGGAAAAATAAGAAAATACTGGAAAGTTATCAAAAATAACACCTGGATGCTGGCATGACACTTTTTCCTCTCCTAACAGTGACCCATACTAGCAATCGGATACGCTAGGATTTCATTTACACGTTTAAAATTCTTTTAACACTTATCAATGAACATCATTGCCAAAGTACTGCTACATCAAGAAGCTAAATAATTAATTCTTAACACCTTCATTTAAGAAAACATAGGTAAATTGCTAAACATACTTAGAAGGAAATCTATTTTTAATGGCTTTACAAAATATGATCCTCCTTGCCTCTATGCTGACCCTATCCGGCTGCCTGAGGCAGGAAGACTTAAGGGAAAGATCATTCGATGTGCCCTTCCATATTGAAATCTGATACCAGAGAAAAACTACATAGGATCTCTTTTGAGGAAAATGGGGTGTTTGCTCGTGCTCCTCACTTCTTCCTGGATATACTGAAGCAGGAAAGGTGAGGCTCTAAGGTTGTCCACAGGAAAGCTGAAAAAGCCTTGTATTTCCTTTTGATGAAGATCCATAGTGATAATGTGAGTTAAACCTGAAATTTTAAAACAAACAATTACAAAGTTCACCCCTACAAGTTACTGGCTACAGTGGCCACAAACTAGACGCCCACTCCTGTTCCCTAACCGAAGGCTGAAAGCAGGGAACGGATTGCGAACAAACACCGTAAGCTACAGAGACTTTATTTGCGACCTTAACAAAACTGAATGGACTAAACAATGGGTCAAGCCTCATGTGAAAGAGCCTATGCCTTCCACATAGACAAAGAGCGCTAAAGCAGAGAAAAAGTGCTCTCCTTTACTATCATAACTAGCTTGGTCCCGAAAATGAAGAAAAACCAGACAGAAGCAAAGATATGAATATGTGATTAATAAATACTAAAGAAGTAATGGGTGTAAAAAAAAAAAAATAGTAAGGCCTTGACTAAAGAGTCTAGGAAGAAATGTTAAAAGGCCTGTGGCTAAAGCAGAAGGAATAAGAAAACAAATCCAAAGTAACATACCTATTAGAAGAAAAACTCATATAACACAAAGATAAGACATTGGAGTTTGGAACAAGTTCTAAATGTCACATAAGAATGGGTCAAGAAGTATTCTAGAAAAACAAGATACACTCTTACAGTCAACAGTGCTGATCGAAAAAAGGTACACGTGTAAAAACATTACAAATGGCCAAAGGTCACTGCAAAACTTCTAGGGCAGTATTTCTTGTTCCTCCCCAAAACATTACACATTTTTAGAGAATGGAATTCAAATGTTTTTTCTCAGGACTCAAATATATACTAGAGTTTTTAAGTAAACACGCCAGGCAAAAATCCCAGTAACTAGAAAGTGTTTTTACATTTGATTCATAGGCCAAAAAGCATGTTACCACTACAAAAACACAGAATGAAAGCAATTAAGAACGAGCTGCTAGACAGAGTGACAATCAGGGAGGGGGGGAAAAAAGAGCAGTATATAAACTGGAGAGGTAGCAAAAGGAAAACCTGGTTTTAATATTATGCACATGAACGGCATTTAGCTAACCGAGGCAAATACATAAAACCTAGACCTGGAGCTCAAAAGATCCCCTACGGATGCCAAGATCACAGCTAAAGTTTTCATGGTCAGATGAAGTGAAAAGAAGTGACAGATGACGGAAAAGCCCAAGATTAGAGAAGAGACGACGTTGCACTCAAGTTTAAGACAGAGAAAAGAAAAAGATGAGAATCTACACCTAAGCTCACATATCCCTAACCAGAACTATCAAAAGGGAACAGAAGAAAGTAATTAGTGAGCAACACTTAAAACCGGTCCCGAATTAGCTCTGAGGGAGGGACTACTCTCAAGCAGGAAGAGTCCTAAATGAGCACCCCAAGGTCCGCGTCCACACTCACCTGCTTTCGCCAGCATGGACGCCAGGAGCTTGCACACAATGGAGCCCCTCTTCCTCATCTTGCTCTGCTTGCTGTAGGGGAAGTAGGGGATGACTCCGATAATGTTCCTGGCACAGGCCGTCTTCAGCGCATAAGCCATGATCAGTAACTCCATCACGGCGGTATTCACATCTCTGAAACAGGTAAAGTTTGTATTTGGGGGGGGAGTTTCATTTACTAACCCCTAAAAGAGATCTGAACGTCAGCGCTGGCACACGGGCCGCCAAGATGGGCGTCACAGGCATTTTTCTCGTCACCTAGCTTATGATGGCACCTTGTGAATACAGGGGAAAGGCCATTAGCTCTTTGCAGCTGTGGTTGTCATCTGTGGTTAGGTAAATCCGTAGCACAGCTACCCACACTCACCTACGCCCGGCTCTTCTGTCAGTGATGCGATCACTGGGGTGGCATGTGAGGCAGACGTCAACTGCCGGTGGCCAGAGTTAAGCAACACCCGCGGGCACCATCCCAGGCACGGGGGACTCAGCCCCTGCGTCCTGCGAACGCCAAGGGGGGAGGCCCACTGTCCTGCTATGTAGCTGCCATCGCCAGGAAGGATTTGGTCTGTTTGTTCTTCCAGGGGTAGCGGGTAGGGTGGAGGATGGGGAGGTCTTGGAACTAAGTTTTCAAAAATCTCATCCCTTTTTTCTCAAGTACACAGATTCCCAACAGAGGTGAGAGAGACAAAGAAAGAAGTATGGATCTGAAAGATATTCAAAGGAAAGGCTACTTTCAATTTTAATGAATGTGGATTGCTACTCTTCGCTAAGGCTGATGGCACCCAAGAAGGGCTCTGCCCTTAAAATAGGTGAGAACCAAAAAACCCAAAACCAACCAACCAAACACACACACACACACACACACACACACACACACACACACACACACAAAAGAGGTGAAAACCTTAGGGCAGAGGGAAGCTCCGAGCTGAGTCCCTTGTATCACTCCACTCCAGGTCACCTGGGAAGGTCTGAGACTGGAAGCCAAAAGCGGCCCCGACAGGGTCCTCCCTGAGTTTCGTGGAGGCGAGTTCCCAGAGAATCTGAGACAGGGCCCACTGGGCAGGAGACTGGGCCGAAGACTCTGCCCTTGGGGAGGGGCCTGGCGGATGCCTCCTTAGCTGTAGCTTGGAACACACTGGGCTAGCAGAGTGAGTTCAATGGCTGGGGGGAGGTACTCTGCCCTCATAACCCAGTAAGACTACTCTCCCCTGTTCACAAAAAAGAAAAAAAAAAAAAAAAAAAAAAAAAAAAAAAAAAAAGAGGTGAGAGCCTTGAAATCCTTCAGGATGTTCTTCCAATGGTCCTTGGATTATTCAAGAATCGTCAAACACCCTCTCTCTGGAGTCAGGAGTGTATCTCCCTTGCCTTCCTGGGAAAGAGGATCATTTCCCACGTCTTAGTTTCTATCCATGTGCGCAGCCGGCCCTCTGGGGGTCAGTTCTTGAACTGTCTGATACACAGCAGCGACGCCCTCATTTACAGCAAAACGGAAAGCCTGCCATCAACACGGTACCGACTTCGTTGAATAAGATACTCATCATGGAGATTGCTTTCTAGCCTGAAGGGCGGTCAGGCCAATTCCTCTCAGTCTCTGAATTCGTGTGTGTCCCTCTCTCTGAGGGCATCGGTCCTCAGTGCATCTGGGAGTGACACGCTGCAAAGACATCCCTGTGCTCCGACAGCGTTTACTTCCACATTCAACTTCTAGAACTTCCGACCTCACCTTTGTAATTTGGATTTTTCGTAAATATTTCAGGGTTCGGTCACACAAGCATTTCTCCCAGAGCGTGGGTATAATTGACTCAGGGCTCAATTTTGGGACAACTCTGACCTTCCTTCCGGACTGCTGACAGGTTACGGTATTTTCCGGTTATTTCCTTCCTCTGAAATAAACTGGAACATTCTTCCTTCTCATGCTCCCAAACTAATACTGTCCCAAGTCGGGCATCACAAGGTTAGAGGACACACAATCTTTTGGCAATAATCAGGACAAAACATTTACCAAACACTTTCAAGGTACTTCAGAATTTGTTAGACCTGGTCAATGTTAGTTCATTCACATATTCAACAAATATTTATTGAGCAACAGGAATCAGGCACTGTTAGGTGGGGGAGTTAAAATGGCAAATGAGGCTAACCACAGGGGAAGAAAATGCCAGAGGCCCACACTGGATCACCCTCGTGGTAATCACGTGTCCCAAGAGGGGGCACGTCTAACTCCACATTCCCCCTCCCAGACTTTTTTTTTTTTATTATTTTTTTTAATGTTTATTTATTTTGGAGACAGAGAGAGACAGAGCATGAGCAGGGAAGGGGCAGAGAGAGAGGGAGACACAGAATGTGAAGCAGGCTCCACCCTCCGAGCTGTCAGCACAGAGCCCGACGCGGGGCCTAAACTCACGAACCGTGAGATCATGACCTGAGCCGAAGTCGGACGCTTAACCGACTGAGCCACCCAGGTGCCCCTCCCCTCCCAGACTTTTAGACTTCATTCCACAGAGGGGAGAGCTGCTCTTCCCCCACTGGATCACCTGAACTGGTGCCTCGTGGGCTCTGAATGTTAAGCTGGAAGGTTACACAGTACCTGGAGGACAGCGTGTAAATAACTCAGGCGTCCACATCTAGACTAAACACCAGGCATCACATCTACTACAGCCAAAGTCCTCTTCCGTATATAGACTGCTTAACAATGTTGGAAATACAATTAGAGCTTTCTTAACCTTCCAGGGGCGTGATACTGTGCGGTGTTGCAAAAGTTCCGCCGGCTGTGGTTTCTTCCATCAGACCTCAATGTCAGCAATATGGTTAGAGTTGAAGTTAATAGATTCCGAAAGAGTATCTGCCCAGGTGGCTGGGCTTTTAGCTGGCTTTGTAATAGCATTTATAACACACAACCACAGGATGCAGTGAGGTTTGGGCAGCACACCTCAAGGCCTGCCCAGATAGTAAGATGTTAACATAACAAAATGAACAATTTTCAAAGAGCCTGGATTTCAGCAAAACTTCCCTTTCACTAATTACTAATTTCTGCCGTGGGATTTCATTTTCTACTTTTTCCTCTTCCTATTGACCTATGCCAAGGGATTCAACATCCTCCAGCCCGAAGCTGAGGAAAGCCTCCCATGCCCCACCCGTTCGGTCAGGAAAGCAACAAAGGAGCCTCTGTCACACTGGCTCTCCCCGTTCCCTGCGGGACACTAGACAAACCGGACAGCAGGCAGTTAATCTGTGGGCTAGCAGGGTGAAGAGAAGCTGGCTGGCAGCCTCTGCTTTGTTTATCTGTTCCCTAAGACTGTTCCAAGTACATCCTGGCTAGTTTTCGTGGTCTTTGTATCTAAGTAGGACAATCTTCATTGTTTACCAACTGACTCGTTTTTCTTTCCCCTAAGATAATCACATCCTATATTAAATTCGACCCTTGTTGCTCTGCCGGTTTTGATAAACAAAGATAAATGAGACACGAGGAAGCAGACATGGTCTGTATACGCCGGTCGAACTGCGCAGGACCGCAATGACAGGCCAATGCCATAATGGAAGGAGTGACAACATGGTAACGGGGTGGGATTTACCCCACCTCCGACCCCACGACTTAATCATCTGAAGCAAATAAGGTATAAATGTTCTTCTCTTTTTTAGTTTTTAAAGTTTATTTCTTTTTAGAGAGAGACAAAGGCAGGGTGAGCAGGGGAGGGGCAAAGAGAGAGAGAGAGAGAGAGAGACAGAGGGAGAATCCCAAGCAGGCTCTGCACCGTCAGCACAGAGCCCAATGCAGGGCTCGAACTCACGAAACCGTGAGACCGTGACCTGAGCTGAAACCGAGAGTGAGACACCCAACCAACTGAGCCACCCAGGCGCCCCGTAAATGTTCTTTTAATGACTCTTCTTACATTACATCAACACACTAGGCCTTGTAACATAAACACGGAAATTGTGCTTCAAAAAACACTCTGTAAGCTTCACATCCATTTTACTTCCTTCCCTCGCTCGGTATATTTGGAAGCTCCTGGAGTACTGATGTGAAATGTTGGGGTTCGGGAGCAAAGGGTCAAAAAAGAATTCTTGAGACGTCTTCAGTGCAAAAAAGGGCGTTTTATGAAAGCGCGGGGACAGGACCTGTGGGCAGAAAGCACTGCACCGGGGTGGTGAGGAGTGGCTGATTATATACTTTCAAGTCGGGAGGGGGGTCAGGGACAGCGTTGAGTCTCGAAGGAATATGGAAGCAAGGTGTCCAGGACCTTGAGGGGCTAGCTCTTATGAGGAAGAGGTCATTTCCTCCAGTAAAACCGCAGTCATGAGACCCTGCAGATGTCTATCAGTAGGCCAAATGCTTGGAGAATGACTGCTAGTCTATATCTTGGGGCTGGGAGGGGGCAGTTAGAGATAAAGGAAGTTTCCAAAGGGATTTTTTATAGGATCCTGGAGGTTGGACGAACGTCAAGCTAAAGACTGCCTCTTGCCTCTAGCAAAGTGTTAACGTGGAGGCAGCTAAGCTCCCTGAGGAAGGTCACTCTGCGCGTCTCTAAATACCTGTCACTGAGCTGTAAGTTGTGAGGAAGTTCAATTTTTTTTTCTTTCGCCTTTGTTCTCCACATCAAGTATCAGACATTTAAATCATGCAACATAGCGGTGCCCGGGTGGCTCAGTTGGTTAAGCGTCTGACTTCAGCTCAGGCCATGATCTCATGGTTTGTGGGTTCGAGCCCCGCATCAGGCTCTGTGCTGACAGCTCAGGGCCTGGAGCCTGCTTCGGATTCTGTGTCTCCCTTTCTCTGTCCCTTCCCCGCTCTCTCTCTCCCTCTCAAAAATAAACATTAAAAAAAAATTTTTTTTTAAATCATGCAACATAATCACTTCATTCAGAAAGGCTTTTTGCCATTTCCAAAAAATTGAATCCACCCTCAACAATAAAAAACGTGCGATTACTGGAGCAAAGGGAATATGCTGCGGGCTCTGGAGGGGGGTTTGGAAGGTGAGCCCCACCTCCGGGGCTATTGGTCAGAAGCACCACCAACAGGGGTGATGACATTAGTCTCCCCTGGCGAGCACAACACCAGAGGGCAGCCTCACGGGTGACAGAGCTCCCACGCTCCCGCATTTCACCCCCAGACAAGACCCTCAGGTCTTCCCCTCATTAAAAAAAAAAATTTTTTTAATATTTATTTTTGAAAGAGGGAGAGGGGAAGAGAGAGAGAGAGAGAGAGAGAGAATGAGCGGAGGAGGGGCAGAGAGAGAGACAAAGAATCTGAAACAGGCTCCAGGCTCCGAGCTGTCATTGCAAATCCCCATGCGGGGCTCGAACCCACAAATGGTGAGATCATGACCTGAGCCGAAGTCAGGTCAACCGCCTGAACCACCCAGGTGCCCCCTCCCCCTCATTTCTAAGGTGCAGCATCCAGCAAAAAAGCATTTAGGCAAAAAAAAGAGTGCCGGAGGAAACCAATAAAACCAAATTGCCGAGGACTAAAAGGGCAAAGTTACTATCAAAGTATCTATCAGAGCTGCCTTATCTACCAATACTAGAGTCATGGATGTTTACACCCAGCAATTCCCTTTCTTGGAATCTTCCTATGGAAATACCGGAAACACAAGATAACCCAGGCAGGGTATGTGCTGCAGGCACTCGGGCACAGCTTCGAGGCCTGATTCACTCCCCTTCGTGGGGAGGGAGGGGCTGAAAGTTCCCACCCTCTATCCTCTGCTGACTTCCCCAGGAGCCCCCCTCTAGTGGTTATCTAGAGGCTTCCCAAAAACCATCTCAATAACGTCAGCTCAGGAGTGGCTGTAAGGGGCTTAAGAATAAAAAGACAATGTATTGCTCTTATCGCTTAGGAAATTCCACAGGTTTTAGGTTTGTGGAGCCTCAGCACTGGGAAAAGGAAGAACACACAATAATAACACACACACACACACACACAATACACACACACACACACACACACACACACACACACACACACACACACACACACACACACACACACACACACACACACACACACACACACACACATAACCTTTTTTTTTTTTTTGTAGATTTTATTTTATGATTCTACACCCTGGGGCTCGAATCTCACAACCCTAACCGAAAGATCAAGAGTCTATTTCACTAACTGGAGCTAGGAGCTCTCTATTTCTTATTACAAGTCACATTTTCACCGGAGGCTAAAAAAGAAGTTTCCATGGGGATTTATGAAGGCTTAAAGAAGATACACAAGAGCCTCACCGATGGCTCTCCAGTGCTGTTCTCATTTTTTTTTAATGTTTATTTATTTTTGAAAGAGATACAGCATGAGTGGGAAAGGAGCAGAGAGAGAGAGAGAGAGAGGAAGACACAGAATCGTTGTGAGAGATCATGCCGGGTTAAAAGTGCTTAACCGACGGAGCCACCCAGGCGCCCCAAGTGCCATTCTTACAATGACCACAGTCTCAGGAATCTCAATAAACCAAGACAGGAAGGTCTGCACTTTCCAGAGACATACACAGATACCATCTACACCAGAGCAGCTTGAAATGGGCCACTATGCAAAAAAAAAAAAAGTGCAAGAAACTGTCTTATGAGGTGTCGGGTAGGGGCTGATTTAACAACAAAAGTTGAGTCGCCTGTCAGCCTCGCCTCCCGATTCTGTGTTTCCCTCTCTCTGCCCCTCCCCTGCTCATGCTCTGTCTCTCTCTGTCTGTCAAAAATAAATAAACATTAAAGAAAAAAAAAAGAAAACGGAATTGTTGCTTCTATGATAACAGAATTCTATTGCTAAGATTTTTAGAGGAAATCTTACCTCTAATGCTAATCTTACCTGGGTATTGTTTGTATAATGAAAATATCTTGGCCACGAACAGATTCTTTTATTTCAACTCTTGTTTCTGAAAAATAAAAAAAAGTCCAATAGTTTAGGGAAAGCATTTTGTGATACACTAATTGGGCAGCACATGGACGGAGTCAAGATGAAATCTAAATCAACACTTCACCTAGCGCACCAAAATAATTCTGCAAGAGATCTCAGAATGACAAGCATCCATATAAAAATAGTGAAGCTGAAGGGAAAAAAAACCCAAAAATAAGCTAAAAGGCAAAAAAGTAACACAAACAGATCCACATAAAATCTCGGGGTCCAAAAAAGCAAACCCATCACCGAAATAAAGACTGGACGCCTGGGGAAAAGTAAAGAGGTCAAAGGTTAACTGCCTTCTTCCCACAAATGTGGTGGCCTCGGGCCCTGTCCTGAGGTCCCCAAGTGGAAGACCTGGACCAAGTAGACGAGGACTGATCCAGGAGAGACAACGCAACGCCAAAGGCTGGGAGACTTTTCAGGCTAATGTGACAGAAAGAGACCAAGAGATGGGGCGCCCAGCTGGCTCAGTAGGTAGAACACGCGGCTCTTGATCTCAGGGTCGAGAGTTCGAGCCCCATGTTGAACATGGAGCCTACTTAAAAACAACAACAAAAGAAAAAGACCCAGAGAGCGAATAGTGGGGTTGGTTAAACCACCTTCTCGTCCTCAGGTGCTTCATCTCAGGAGCTCCCCAGATGCCATCACCATAAATTAAAATTGTTACTGCTAAACAGACTAGCTCATCTATCTGCTTTCAGCTTTAGGTTTTTGAATACCACTATCTCCTGACTTGTCTTGACGGTAGATGAAGTTTTTAAAGTCACCAAGTAGAAAGTTACTAAGTGCGGGGGCGCCTGGCTGGCGCAGTCGAGCACGCGACGCTTGACTTCAGGGTCGTGAGTTCGAGCCCCACGTGGGGCGTTGAGATTACTTAAATAAATAAAACTTTTTAAAAAAGTGACTAAGGGGCGCAGTGACTCTTGATCTCAGCTCAGGTCATGGTATCACAGTTCATGAGTTCGAGCCCCACGTCAGGTTCTGCGCTGATAGTGCGAAGCCTGCTTAGGATTCTGTCTCTCCCTCTCTCTCTGCCCCTTCCCCACTTGTTCTCTCTCTCTCTCAAAATAAATTAATAAACTTAAAAAAAAAAACAAGTTTCTAAGTGTGGAAGTGGGATGAAGGATATCTGGGGGTTAATTATACCGCACATGGAACTTACAACATTTTGGGCACATGTGTTTTCCACTAAACCGGCCACTAAATCACCTTTCCTTTTTCAAATACCTTCCTTTTTTAGATGCCTGAACATCACTAGGTCTTAGTAATTTACCTCCTCAAGCTACTTACACCACAGATAGTTCTACCTTAGAAAGAAAAAAGGAAGCAAGAATCATAAACCTAAGCTTTCAACTTTGCAAAAATAGTTCCAAACTATTTTTTTTTAATTTATTCATATTTGAGAGACAGAGAACGAGTGGAGGAGAGCAGAGAGAGAGGGAGACACGGAATCCAAAGCAGGCTCCAGGCTCCCAGCTGTCAGCACAGAGCCCGACTCGGGGCTTGAACTGTGAGATCACGACCTGAGCCGAAGTCGGACGTTCAACCGACTGAGCCCCCCAGGCGCCCCAGTTCCAAATTATTTTACGCTAACTTGTCTTCACAGGGCATTGTACAGCCTGAAGTACACAGCCCCGCTAGATTTACGATGCAGCACTCCTAGGACACGGGTGATCAACAAAGTGCTTTGAAGTGTTATCATTTAATGTCACAATTTTCCATGGAAACTCAGAGGGCAGCAAAAGTGGGTTACCAACCCAGGATGAGAGTCTACAAGAGAACTGAGAAAAAAATTTAGGCTGAAAGAACTCAAAGCTGGGTTTGTTTGGTTTGTTTTTTATTTTTATTTACTTATTTATTTTTTAATTTTTTTTTTTACATTTATTTATTTCTGAGAGACAGAGAGAGAGACAGAGCACAAGTAGGGGAGGGGCAGAGAGAGAGGGAGACACAGAATCCGAAGCAGGCTCCAGGCTCTGAGCCATCAGCACAGAGCCTGATACGGGGCTCGAACTCACGAACAGTGAAATCATGACCTGAGCTGAAGTTAGACGCTCAACCGACTGAGCCACCCAGGCGCCCCTGGTTTGTTTTTGACTTTTTTTTTTTTTTTTTTTACATTTATTCATTTTTGAGAGGCAGAGGGACACTGCACAAGTGGGGAGGGGCAGAGAGAGGAGACAGAATCCAAAGCAGACTCCAGGCTCTGTGCAGACGGACGCGGGGCTCAAACTCACAAACCGCGTGAGATCATGACCTGAGCCGAAGTCGGACGTCAAAGCTGGTTTTTTTAAAAAGTCATTACTACCTGGTACCAGACTGCTCTAGATGCCATTTGATGACATAAGGAGACACAGATGTAAAGGGCATTTAGCAAACGGAGCCCAATATAGAAGAGAAAACATATTCTTTACATCTCTCCTTTTTTCACTGTGAAATGACAAGACAGTCACATTATCCTGGAAACAGGGGAAGGAGACTTTAAGGAAGAGAACAAAGAAAGAAAGATTTAGAGGCAAGTAGTGAATGATCTTAAAGAAAAATGTTTTCATGTTACACGGGAATAGTATCAGCCTTTTAAAAACATGTCAGTTTAAGGGCTCCTGGGTGGCTCAGTTAAGTGTCCAACACAGGTCATGATCTCACGGTTCGTGAGTTCAAGCCCCACGTCGGGCTCTGTGCTGACAGTGTGGGGCCTGCTTAGCAATCTGTTTTCCTCTCTCTGCTCCTCCCCCACTTACACGTGCTCTTTCTTCCTAAAAAAGGAAAAAAAAAAAAAATAGACCAACGACTGAATTTGGCTCAAGTCATGATCTCCTGTTTCCTGAGTTCGAGCCCCATGTCAGACTCTGCACTGAAGCATGAAGCCCGCTTGGAATTCTCTCTCTCTCCCTCTGTTCTTCCCCCTCTTGCTCTCTCTCAAAAATAAATAAACATTAAAAAAAAAAAAAACCCCACGTCAGTTGACTAAACAGTTTAGAGAACAAAGGATGTTTAAGAAATCATTTTCACTTACCTCCATTGGTCTCTTGATAGACCACAGATTTCCCCAATTCCGCACCAAGACGCCTATGGGGGGGGGGGGGGGGGGGGGGGGGGGGGAGGGGAGGTAAAGGCAATAAGCTCTTTAAAAAAAAACTTCAGTTCCTATGTGTATGTTTAACAAAAAGGCTAAAATAACTAGACTAGCATTCTTTCCCCCAAACCCAGAAAAGTTCAGAAAGTTTAATGCATTAAGAACCACACACCGTCCACTGTCGCACAAGCAGCTTCAAGGGCCCACCATTTTGTAACACGCTGCTCTACCGGGGGGGAGGGGAATCCACAGCCAAAGTTTAATGTCTAGTTCATTGTTTTCTGAATAAGGGTCTTGGAAAACCATTCCCAAACAGACGCGTGGCTACTGACACCGATTCCAAAACCACAAGTCACAGGTAAATGCAATGGCCAAAAGCGAATAGATTTCAGTGCCATTAACCAAATGCAGTGTGAATGTTGCTTGGGATCCTGATTAGAATAACTAGGCACAAAAAGCCATTTTTGACACAGGGGAGGGAACTATGAACAAGGGCTTGATACTAAATGATATTAAGGAATTAATGATGTCATAGGTTTTGCTTTTTTTTTTTAAAGATTTTTATGTAATCTCTATACCCTCTGTGGGGTTCGAACTCACAGCCCCAAGATCAAGAATTACACGCTCCACTGACTGAGCCAGTCAGGTGCCCCGTCATAGGTTTTCCTGGTTATCAGGTAGCATTACCACTTTAGTGAGTGAAATGCTATGATGTGAGGGGGGAATCTGTTTAGAAATACTCCAGCCGCCCACGCAGGACAGCGAGGAAGGCCGCTGGGTAGAGGAGGTTGTGGCTTTCTGGTGCTTTGAGGAAACGTCAGATGCGAGGCCTTCTGGCCAAGTGTCTGAGAGTTTAGACTGTGGAGGATTCTTATATCCTAGCAGGCTGCAGCCTTCTCTCCAGGTTGCTGCGGCGGAACCAAGAAAGAAGGCATAGGCAAATTTCTACAGAAATTATGATTCCCTGAGAGATTCTGAGGTGAAGAAGGCTGGTGCCTCTCGGGGTGCAAAGTGGTTTTGGAATGTAAAACTTTCTTCGGGTTGGGTTCCATGGAAGTTTGTCACTGACCTGGGTTTCCTAACTATGAAACACGGATATTGGGGTATGAAATAGTTTCTCTTGATAAGCAAACAACGAACAAATACTGTGCACAGTATAAATAAATAGAATTATTCCAGTCAAGTCTACAATAGGATATTATTCAGCCTTAAAAAGGAATGAAATTCTGATACATGCTATAATATAGATGAACCCTGAAAAAATGATTCTAAGTAAAAGAAGTCAGACACAAAAAGACAAATATTGCATGATTGCATTTATAAGAGGTACTTAGAAGAGGCAAATTCAGACACAGAAAGGAGAACAGAAATGACCAGGGATTGGGAGGGAAGGGATCGGGGAGTTAGTGTTTTAAGGGTATGGAGTTTCTGTTCCGGATGATGAAAAAGTTCTGGAAATGGATACTGGTGACAGCTACACAACACTGTAGATGTATTTACGGAGTTGTACTGAGTTGTACACTTAAAATGGTTAAATGGTGTGGTGCTGGGGTGGCTCAGCTGGTTAAGCGTCTGACCTCAGTTCACATCATGATCTCGTGGTTTGTGGGTTCAAGCCCGGCGTTGGGGCTGACAGCTCAGAGCCTGGAGCCTTCTTTGGACTCTGTGTCTCCCTTGCTCTCTGCCCCTCCCCCGTTCGCACTCTGTCTCCATCTCTCTCTCAAAAACTGAATAAACATTAAAAATATTTTCAAAAAAAGGTTAAATAAATGGTACATTTTAAGTTATGTACATTTTACTGTAATTAAAAAAAAATCCTTGGGGGGTACCTGGCTGGCTCAGTCGGTAGAGCAAGCAACTCTTGACCTCCAGGTCATGAGTTCAAGTCCCACATTGGG